AGAGGGACAGGGGAACTGAACCAGACCGTCTCCAAGAGCAGCTTCCAACCTCCACTGCCCTGGGCTTCTGCCTAACAACCCCACAGGCACTTCAGGACAGAGTGAAATTACAGCTGAAAGAAGTTAAGATCCTCACTGACACAGCCCAGGAGCGCTTACAGCATCTGTAACCCTCGGTTTATTTCAAGCCATACATTTCTTCCTCTCCCAGCAAGGGTTAACATGGGCAGCTCTCATCCCTGCCACCACCCAGGCCACGACCATGAGAGAGAAGTCCCCCATATCCCATGCATCAGAGACTGGGGGCCTTCAGGCTGGAGTCGGGTACGTGCCATGACACAAAGACAGGTACAAGGAAGCTGGATGGAAGAGTAGGTAGGTGGGTCACCACCTCTCACAGCTGGCCCTGGAAAGGCAGGTTTTAATTGCTGCTTCCTCACCAAGCCACACTGGGAAGGGGGAGCGGATTATCAGCCCTCTAGACGACGTGAATGAAAGCACAGATGTAATTAACTCTGAACGTACCTGTAAGAGATTTAGAAGGCAGGAAAAGCATCAGATGACATGAAATAGGAGGTATTTCAGGTACTACAACCCCCTGAAAGACTATTCAAACTAGCTGGCAGCATTTCCCAGGCAGAGTTAAGAGGACACCACCCAAGAGGTCTTGCTGCTAATATTTGGGCTGACACTTAGGTCTTGAAATGCAGACCCATGCTAAGTGATGGCACAACTTTGGAGCTGTTTGCAAGGCATTATGGACACAAATATCCTCTGAAGGAATGAGCAGACCTTGTTTTTTGAGGAAGACACTGAAAAGCTGCTGTAATGCAGCCCTCCTCTTCATCCCTTCACGGGCTCCAGCAATGTTACCTTCCCCAAGACTCTCCTGCAGTGTGGGGCTCCCACACTGAACTGATGCTCTATACTCTCAGCCAAGGGTTTCAGTCAGTCCATGCCCACCCTGCAGCAGGTACTGAGGGGAGCACTGGCTTACCTTCTTCAGGAAGAAGAGAGGGAGTGGAGATCTCTGCTCCTGGGCAAGTAGCCCCACTCAGCTTTGAGTTGTATGATGGGTTGATCCCAGCCCCACGTGTATTTTCCACATGGCTGTGGATTTGTGTGGAAGTGATACCATTGGCAGGAGACTGACAAGTAGATGTCCTGTCTGGGAATCCCGCACCAGTTTCCAGTCTCCTTGTGCCTCTCCCTTCCCTTCTTTCTTCAATAGAAGGACTACCCAAGCTTGGCATGAAACTGCTCCTGGGTGATGCCTGTGATGCCAGTGTCTCTAACTAGAGACACTTAATACAGTGCCAGATGAAGGGTATGTCCCATGAACTGCCACTGTTCAGCTGTGTCATGATTAACCCCACCACCTCTGCCAAAGGGGAGGAGCACCCTCAGCAACTCAAGATTAGTTTGCTTCCCCGAGATGGTCAGCAGCTTGCTGCACTGAGCTTCTGTTGGGCAGCACCAACTCCTCCCTAGGGCCCTTTACTGCAACTCTCAGCCAAGGGCTTAAGGTAGCACCAGACCACCTGAAAAGGCAGGTGCCAGGCTGCTGCCAGCCTTCATCTCACACAAAACAAGCCCGAACGTCTTCCTTAACTGTGAGTTTTATAACTTAATCCAACACCCCAGAAGCGCTGTAGCACAGAACTCTGCAGCTCGGCTGGTGGGGCACTTGGGGAGCGAAGGATGCAAAAGTCCTGGGTTAGCAAGGGGCAGGAGAGGCCCCACACATGTGCAGGAGTGGAAATGCCAAGAGAATGTGCCCGGGAGGTAGGAAGCAGAGCTTCACCTGAGGAAACCGGAGCAAATCTGCTATGGGCACTGGAGGTGTAACCAACCACCTTCCTCTTCCGATACTCTTTTGTCCCTGCACTGGTGGCTGTTCATAGATAAGGCTGCCTCGTGAGTATCTAAACAAGAGCTTACACTATCATAATCAACAGAAAAAAAAAAACAACTCCCAACCAAAATACATGTAGAATCATAAAATGACAGGATGGTTAAGGTTGAAAGGGACCTTAAAGCTCATACAGTTCCAACCCCCCCTGCCACGGGCAGGGACACCTTCCACTAGACCAGGTTGCATTCTTTAACCGATACAAGTTAAAGTAACTTTTGTTTGTGCAGCGCAACTTCCTCCACCTAAAACGGAGCCACTTGTCTCTTTGTCACGTCTAGGACACGGCGCACACGTCTACCTGCCCTCAGGCAGAGGCCGTTTCCCGGTGAGGACACCAGGGGGACCCAGTCACCCGTTCCTGCTTCCAGCCGTTATCTGGGAGCAGGTTCCCGAAGGATTTCTGCATCCCTCCGCCAACTTTTACCGTAAAATGCGTGCCCTCCCTAGTTATGTCACTGCGTAACATTGCATGGTTATGAAGTCGCAGCAACTCTTAACTATATGCAGTTGTTTGTTTTAAATAAACCTGTGCTGTTTTATATAAAGTTTGGGGTTTTTTTTAACTAAAATGTTCTCATAGTGCAGGTGGGATAAAAGTAATCAAAGCAGCTTAGAAATTGCTTCCCACACCCCATTAAAGAGTTCTACACAAAACACAAATTTAGGGCCAAAGTGTTAACCTACTACAGGTTTTGCTTGTTTGTTAAGATATGACTGTGCAGAACACGTGCCCAGCACTGCATTATTATTATGTTGTGGCTGGAGAAGGTGAAGTGAAGGGAAAATAAATACCCCCAGTCTGACCGCTCAAACCTTGCTCTTTGCTATCAGGGACACCATCAACTGGACTCTAATCTCAGGAAACAGATCCTGTTACCCATGGCCCCGATTCCCTTCCCTTCCCTTGTCAGTGGTGTCCACAATCACATACGCTAATATAAGCAAGGTAGATACATTTATAACCCAAGTGACTTGCCTTAAGGTAGTTCTGAAATGTGAAATACCAGCTCACAACCCAATACCACGTTCAGGTATGAGGCTGTCTGTGAGTAGGAGTCAAATCCTACTTTACCATTTCTATTCAACTCATTCATTCCTCCCTGTCCTGTGAAGGACTCGAGCCTTACCCTAAATGGGTTGGTGATTTGCATCTCATCTGCCCCTTCCACTTTTAGAGCCAACTGCTAGCACATGGCTCACCCATTTGGGAGCTTTGGGCTTTTTTTTTTCTTATTATTTCAGGAAAGGGATAAATGTGCTGTATCTTCACTCCTCAACTTCAAAGCTAGGGGGAAAAGCTTGATGGAATTAAGTGGTAGCAAAAGCCAACAGAGCAAATTCCCTGGAAATAGTTTTGTCTGGTAGGACAGAGGACCTTAAACCTGCTTCTGTCAGCTGCTATCACCCCCCGCTAGACAGGGTCAGGCAACCTCGATGCAGCAGATGCTCCAGAGTGAACACAGTTCCTGCATCAGTGTAATAGCATGAACAGACTTGAGTGCATTTGCAGTTACTTGCAGGCTTTACAGCTGAAAAAAAGCCCCAAAATATTTAATATGAAAGCCAACAATGGGAGACCCAAGTCTCTCCATACACCCACCTCCCCACCCCCATCCCCCCAAAAAAAACAAAACAAATGAAATCCAAATCCAGTTGAGTTCCATGAATTGCTTCCAAGTCTGTGCTGCTCAGTACTCATATTCTCATTAGGTATGTGCAAGTGCATGCAACCATCTGCACATCTGCATGCCTGCAGGCAAGGTGCATGCTAGACTTTCATGATGTTGAAGCTCTGAGTTTGCTATTGTCACTTAGCACTCCCCCTCTTCTCCAAAGCATTCAGCAAGCACAAAAATGGTACTTTCCAGTCTGATTATACTTGGAGATGTGATCTTTCCACTCCTGACCCAAAAGCCGTCAGCATAGCCAGATGTTTTACATAAGATACAGGCTGTCTGCTTCCTCTCAGATTTGCAAGCATCCTTCTTTTGAGAAACACCCAAGAGAAACTTCATCGTTCCCTGGTGCAGTGTTTGACTTTACTATGCAAAACAATTCCCCTGCATACTGTGTTCAACAATGTGATAATTAAAAAGGTCAGGTCAACACAGGATAGTTGCAAGTGCTGGAAAGGCTTCTTCCTTGTTCAATGTAAAACAAGGATAGGGAAGAGGCTATTTCAAGAGAACATGAAAGAAGTTACATAGCACTGAAGCATGGAAAAAGCCTCAAAAGACTTTGGGATCAGCTCAGGGCTGTTGCTCTTAGGTTTCAGCCTAACATACTGGCAAGAGCCATTACCTTAGAGCAGAACTGAGCAAGAGAACAGAACAGGTATCCAAGTGCCATGGAAGGTGCACTAAAGCTGGCAGACCCCATCTGGAGACCCAGGTAACTCTTCCTGAAACACAACAAGGCAAGAGAAGCGCATGCAGGAGGACTTCACAAGATACACAGCAATGGCAGAAGCACAGTCATGTAGACGTTTCCTTGATTACCATGCAGTCATTACAAAGCTCATCAAAAAGCTGAGAGAAACTGTGTGGCATCTCATATGGATGGGCATCTGTAGGCTCTACCATTCTTTTGCCATCTTCAAAGCACTCGTAATTCATTGGAAGCCACATAAAACTCAAGAACCCCCATTAACCCTTACAAATCCTCTCTGAAGAGGACTTCCACTTTGCGTCTCATGTACCTGTCGGAAAGTGGTGAAAACACTAGAGTTGCATCTTTGTCCACCATCACCCTCCAGCCATCCTAAACTTGGTGCTGTCCCTCAAAGAACAAAATCACCAGGAAAATGATCACCACAGCCAGGTAACTGCAGGCAACCTAAAACATAGCCCATCCCCTGAACCTCCTCTAGAGCAGAAGTAGCTCAGATTTAAGAAAAAACAAGCACAAACACCCCCCCCCCCCCAAAAAAAACCCCAAACAAAAACCCAACCCAAACCCCAAGCTAACGGAAGATTCCCCCTCCCAAACCACCAAAAAATCCGCATACCCCCATTTATCAAGGGATGTTTATAAATCAGTTGCTCTGGAGTAGTTCTAAGAGTTGAAAAGACTACAAATAACCACATAGTTTTCAAGAACCTTTATACATCATCTTTTTTTTTTTTTTTTTAATTAGATTAGCTTTACAAGCAACTTGAGAGCTCTTTCATAATGAACACTGCTTTTCAAATTACACAACTTTATAGGCAACCTGTAAATGAATCCTGAATTTCTTCGCCTGCTATAGATAAAGGTCTCGTATTTCACAGCCAGCTAACATCATGAATAAAAATAGCATTATGAAGCTTTATCTTTAACCAGGACTAGACACATACAGATCATAAGACAGTTTAAAAAATAGTTTTAGAACAAGGACCTGCTTGGTGATACTCAAGACTGAATACTCAACCGACATGAAATGAACAGTTTCTAAAGGACATGGAAGAAATGGCTGACCTGATTTTGTTGACCCTATTGTAATGACTTACATGGAGTGAAAAAATAAGCACTTTTAAAACCTGTCTGGCAAGCACAAACCTACAGTGTGATTAGAATTTGATACGCCACGTAACTGCAGAACTTTCAATTACAGAGGGACTGAAATGAGTTTAAAGGCTTATGCTTACATTTCTAAAACAAAACTAAACAAACCTCTGTTAAAGTAGTACTGAAGAAGGTGAAGTAGAAGAGGTGGCTTTTTTGCTTGTTTCATTGGTAGCCTAAATGCACTGCAGACCAGACAGTAATGAAGATTTGCACTCCTTGGCCAGGTTGGCAGAGGCACTTACAGTAAAGGTATTCTGTCTGGTTTTCTGGGAAGAAAGGAGGAAAGAGGAAGGTAACTGTAAAGGGCAAGAATATACTAAAAAAAAGGAAAAGCAAAATCAAAACAAAACTGGGATTTTTGTTGGTTCTCCTAAATGATATACCAATACTGATTCCCCCCCCCCTTCTGTCAGTTTGTTACTAAACAATTAGCTTTTTCATGTTTTACATGAACAATAGTAATGTTTTTAATAAAAAATTACTGAGCTTTCCATAGAAAAGGTCTCTAATTGAATACAAACTATACAGATGCTAAAATTGTCACAAGTTGTAATATATACAGAAATATTTCTGTACACTCACATTGTTTTGGCTAAGTAAGGAAATAAGGGACAGATAGAAAACTGCAGTGGGTAAGTTGATCAACCCTCAAACTCCTGAAAATGTGAATGCTGTCTTTTATAGGTTTGCTTTTGTTTTCTCAAGCTTTTAAAGCTCAGGGGTTAAAAAAAAAAAAAGGAAAGAATTAAAAAATAATAATAAAAAGAGATCAGTGTCCAAACCATCCATTTCTTAAAAATAAAAGAGTATCAACATTTCTGCACATCTCACTTCTATTCTGTGATGTCCCCTCTCCTTGATAAAATTAAAACAATGTAAAAGAAAGTAAATGCTTTCCTACTAAATATATACCTCAGTATTGACCAAAGGGCAGTGCCTTTTTGGGGAAATCCTTCAGCCCAGTGAAAACCTAAAGATGTATTGCACAAAGAGCCTACAGTGATGCACTTCAGCTTCAGTGTGCTGACCATCTCCTTGTATTATATAATAGATCAAGGTGTCAACTTACAGACTGCACAGGACACCAACACTTGAAAAGGAAATTAAAAAGTTAGGGTTTTGATATTCTATTAACTTATATACAAAGGAAAGTGGAGTGCCAAGTACTCGTTAGAAAACAGAGAAAGCTCAAAAGTTTCCGTCAAGTACGTAAGGAGGTTCTGGGTACCTCTAATAGCCTAGGAAAGCCCTTGTATGTTCTTGTAACTCGATGGTATCTACCAGGTCCCCAAAGCCAATGACAGCAACCGATAGTGTCAAGTTCACTTAGTGCCAGTCACTTAAAAAAAAACCCAAAACAAAAACCAACCCACAAAATAAAATAAAACAACAAAAAAATAAAAAGGCAAACAAAACAAAAACATCCCCTAAACTAAAATAAAACAAAGAGACAGAAACTTCCCCTCTGTGGATCCAACATACAAAACCACAAACTGAATGTTACTAATAGCGAGACACTGATTTGCTTCTGTTAATAAGGTTCAGGAGGACACAGTCAAAACAAAAAAACAATACAGCAGCAATCTTTAAAAGTTAAGATTAGTGTGAGATATGATATAAAACAATCAGGTTTTTAGCTGGTAATTAAAGTGCTCCTTTTCTGACTTAAGGTGTAAAGAAAATTAAAGTGATTATCAGTTACTGGCAACCCTTACATTAAATTAGGTCTTCAATGGCAGAGGAGAACGGTATGAACAGTTTTACAAAAATAGATCCATGTTATTTTGGAGAATACTGTAATTTTTTTCTTTTTTTTTTCAGTTTTTCTTTTTTTTTTTTTTTTTTTAAGACTCAATTTTGATTAACTGTACCTGGTCATACAAAAATTACCCAAAATTCAAACTTTTAGCATATAAAAAAAGGGAGTGATGAATTGGATTCAGCTGGATGACAGGTCTGACAAAATATAAGGATGGACAAATTCTATGTAGGGCACTTATTTATGTCCAGATGCATATGTTGTTTCTTACTGATTGCTTATCTTCTTCACATAAGCAGTCACAGGCCTGGAGTCACAATCACATAGTACAATGCTTCAGCAGTCAAAGAACCTTCTATTTGATGCAACATTGAAACACTGTTTGCTTCTTTATTAAAATGTTGGTTCGTTGTTGATTTTCCTTTATCTTGTTATTCACATTCAAAAGTTAATAGATAGCATCAAGATTTATCAGGGAGAATAGCAAGGGGAGTTGCTAAATCAAAGGCTTATAAAACGTCTTTCCCAACTGAGTCAGAAGGTTTATTAAGTTCAACCCTCACACCTTTTTCACCTGTAGAAATATGAAAAGGAAACTGGCATTATTTTTCAGCATTTATTGAAGTACAGTCTACAGAACTGTTACGTGACTTTCAAGATCAGTTTTAAGAGAGCACTTTGAAGATTATCTAGTATAAATGATCTAGCAAGACAGGTATTTTTGTATACATGCTCTGTATCCTGTGCTGTGTAAAGTTAACAAGCTGCGTAAAGTTACTCATCATCTCTGAAAGCAGGCATGTATATTTGGCTGCCCAAGTATAAAACTGGATACTTCACATCACAAATGCAGTCCTGCAGCTCATCACCTCAGCTTTTATAAAGGTAAGCTTTAAGAACGGCCAATTGAGAATGTGAGGGGGTATCCTCCATTATTCTGTATCAGAATATCTGGAGTTTCTGGGTATTTATCTTTGTAAAGAAACTCTGAGGAATGATTAAAGTGAACCATTCCATTTGAATTGCTGCTAAAAAAAAATAATGCCCGAACCACCAGCCAACCCACACCTCCTTTTTTAATATACATTGACCAAGGTAACTTCAGGTACCCCCACATAAAAGCTTTACTATCAAAACATCAACAGACACAGTATTCCATATTCAAGAAAAAGTCAAACAGATTCTGCATGCCTTTAGACACTAAGCCAGAAATTCTTAGTTTCCTCTTTCATAACATTTTATTCTATAATTTCATGTTTTATTTTCAGTAGAAAATAGAAGGCATCTTGCAGTTTCTGCTGCACACACAGAGCAAAGAATGCAATTTTAATTGCAAATGAAAACTGGTATCACCACAATGTGGTATCATAAATCAGTTACAGGGCATACTGATTCTGAAACTTAAACAACCTTTCCAACCCAGCCTTCCTTAACTGCCTGCAGTTTAGGGGGAAACTGGAGAAGGAGGGAGGCCAGAGGGAGCACCTTCCCTGCAGGCAGACACAAGCCTGCACTCTCTCGGGAAGAGCAGCAGCTGAAGCTGGGCAGACACAATCAGAACAACTCTGATCCAGTAAGGCTGGCTCCAGGAGCTGTGTGGTCACATGCATGTGACACAAAGGCTGACTTACAGACAGACAGGCTTCCTGCAGAGACCAGGTGGGAGATATCCAGCATTCCCGAGGGCCTGGGAAGTCACCGTGCCTTGCTGTCACCTGCTGAGCTGGAGCTGAGGGACCCCTGTCTTTCTTCACAAGCCCTCCAGGAGCTGCACTACTCTTGCCATTCTCAGAACACACAAAGTCACAGGGGAACTGCAGCCTCTGCAGCCACTAGATAGCTCTGGGGCTAGTCATGAGTTTCAGATGTCTAACAGCAATGAATGGAAGTATCATTCCGAAATCACTGCCACGTCTTCAACATCATCAGTTTCAGAGCTCTTGATGAAACCATGGAGAAACTGGCCCTGTGCATGTGTGCACTTGCAGTATACATGATTTTGCTTTATTTTTAAACTGTGGTAACAAACACAGAATCATGCTGGCAATTACAAGCATGACAGAAGTCCTCAGCCATTTCTCCTTATAATGCTAATTTGAACAGGAAAATTAGATCAACTTCCTCTTGAGGGAGAAGCCAGAAAAGGAAAACAGATGCTAGATATGTGAAATTGGAAATAGAGGAAGTAACTCCATTCTTTGATTCCAGATTTTAATTTTAGGCTTTTGTTTTTCCAGTATAGAGATCCTAGTCCAGTTAAGTCGTATTCACTTGTTGAATCACTATATTCCACCAAAACTATTCCCAGGGCTCTCAGTTCTGCAGTGCCCCACTGTCTCTGGAATATTTATCCTCCACACCCACTAGGGAGACAAAACCAGGGGGAGGCTGTATCCTCCATATGAAAATACTGAGCAGTCTCAGAGGAAGTGTGAGCAGGACAAGGCACTGACCTGGATTTCCCAAGTCACTGCCTAGCAGCTCAACCACTGGGTCACCTTCCCTGTAAAACCTGACTTTGAATTACACTGATCTTCTCTCCTTTTTTGTGTACAGAGTAGGCCAGAGGCTGGAGGACTTCTTAGCTATTCTTCCATTAAACAAAACAAAACCAAACCAACACAGAAGGTATTAAAGGAGATTACCTGTTAGATATTTTACTTTAGCTCGTGCTCGTTCATCTGCATCAAAATACCACACTGTTATTGCGTACCTAGGGAAATGAAAGGAAAAAGAACTCCTGAACTATGAAGAAAAAAAAACAGTGAAACACTTCACATAAAATACAATCTAAAAGAGATGATACTTCTGCAGTCTGACAGAGGAAATACTTCATAAAGCAAAAAGCAAACAGTTGTTTTGGTAGTTTGCGGTTATTTTGTGTGTATATGTGTGTGTGCACATTTCCCATCAGTAGGTACTGCCTAAAGAGTCATCAGAAGGGTGACACTGATGGTGTAAAGTTTATGCTTCTTTTTCCTGGTGTGTTGCTATTATGGCTCTTGCCCAGAAGCTGTGATGTAGTCTCTGTCCCCATCACCTTGTCCTCTGACCTCATCTTTCACTCTACTTGCCCAAGTCCATCACTGATACACACTACAACAACCTATTCTTTTCTTTTCCCACATTTGACATAAAGGAACAGTAACTACCCCTTCTTACACAGCTCCTCTGATTTTTCTACTGCCCGTAGAGGATTTAAATGTGAAATGCCAGCTAGGGAGGAAAAAAACTTTAAGGAGCTTTAGTAAATTGCATCTCACCCTCTGAATCTGCTCAGAGCACAAAGGGGGAGGGGAGAGCAGTACAGCCTCTTGAAAGGCTGCAAGAGGACGTGCAGCTTCAAGTTACTTCTTGCAAAGGTACCCGCGTTATTTCACAGTTCCAGTGTTCCGTGCTCTGGCCACCCAAACATGTTGCAACTTGGGCAACAGGAAGTCTGGATCAACAACTCCAATGATTTACCTATTAATGCTACCTGGAACCCCCACTCACTGCCCACAGGTGGGGGCACTGAATGCAGGTACCTTTAGCATCATGACTGCCCTACAATGAGGGACAAAAGAGGTATCAAGCTCCACCTGTGACTCAGACTGGGAGCAACTCCTCTAATACTCCAGAGAAAGAAAAGATTCCAGTAACAATGGTCGTTTCTGCCCCACAGCCCTCTTCCAATTCCCAAACTAGAATGTGGTGGCTTGGTTTGTAAATGATTAGGGACAGAAAGCTGAAGTACCTACTCAATCTTCCACTAACACAATAAGGTGCTAAGGACAAAGGGAAGGGAGTGTAAAGCCATTACAGAGAAATGGTGAAGACAACACCCCTTGGCTAAGGTGGGGTCTGCTTATGGCTCTGTGTGCTCCTACTCAGTTCTGCCAAGTACACACATAGAAACTTCTGGTGCTTCCAGTCCTCCCTCCTACCCACCCTACAGGATGTTTTCTCCAAAATACAAGATCAGACACCAGTACAAACTCAGCAGCACGACAGACACCTAACCAATCAGTAGAAATAAACCCCTTCTTGTCATACTGCAACTTGAACTGTACATGGGAAGACCTGGGAGCAGGTCATAGTTCATAGTGTCACTCGTTTCTCATTAGAATTTGCTCATTTCTCAATGGAAAAAACATCATGCAATATAGAGAGAGTTAATTAGTCTTACCTTGTAGCATATGCTGGCTGTACTTCATGAGGGTTGCGGCGATCAGACCAGAAGAATAGCAGTCTATCGAATTTGGGTTCAATATCAGCGAATTGGGCTTTACCTTCTGGGAATATCCGGAGGATGCCTCCACTTACCTAGAAATTAAATATTTAAAACCAGTGCTCTAAGGCAACGCTTCACTGGATGTTCAGGTACCGAGTATCACATTTGAAAATATTTCGGACACTTGGAACTGAAATGAAAACCTTTATCAGATGCTACAGAAATTATGCATCTACAGCTTTTCTGTCAACACATTTAATTTAGCAAAATCTTGTACACGTTTTTAACTGAGTAATTTCAGAATGCTTGAAAATATTAAACCTCTATTCATGTTTAAGCAAAAGTTGTGGGTTTTGACTGCTTGGGATTTAGCTCTCACAGTTATGGTGAAAATGCAGTTTTCTTGACTTTTATGCTCTATTACACATTCTTTTTCCCATGGAAAAAAACCAACCCATAAATCAACTAAAAATGCCTCAAAGCTGCACTTTAAGATGTTCAGTCCAAACAGTCCACTTATATGTGAAGACGCCACTGTGGCAAAAAAGTCTAGTAATTTATTCTCTAATTGCAGGATCAAATTTGACATTTCAAAAAGCAAGTCATAAACAGAAAGCGCCAAGTTCATCCATCTCTGTCTCAGCTTTCTCATCTACCAGTTTTATGCGAGTGTTATCAGCCTCACTGTCCCATCCAGCTCTTACAAGAAAGGGACAGCACTCAAGAGAAAAAAAAAACGGGGGAAGAAAACTTCTCAGCTGCAGCCTGTGTTACTGTGTTATCCATATCTGGTGCAATCAATTGACAGAAACGGACTGTTTACGTGCTCTTCCACATGTTACACTTTCCAAGCACGACACAAGTATCAGAAGATTTATCTTTTTTCATATACAGTGAGAATAAACTTCTCCACAGCTAACTGCACAGCCATCAAGGAATAAACAAAGCCATCTTTGCATTACTCATGCTTTTAACACAGCCATTTAGCTACATCCATTCTTTCAATCCACCTAATTCCACTGACTGGCTAGGAAAATCCGTATTAAAAAGCTACGTTACCATGGTCACTACATTTATGGAGAGTTTCGAGTAAATTCTTAGACCACTTTAACTAAATCCTTATCTATTCTACACCCTGTGTCTACAACGGTACAAAGACTTGTGCTGCTTTAAACTATACTGATATAGCATTAACCACAACACTTGGCACAGAAACAAGGCCATGAACAAAGACCTGTGGCAAAGGTGCATTAGCAAGCATGTTAAAAAAAAAAAGTTATAGAAAGTAATTACTGCATACCTTGGCATCCCAGTCTTTATTAAGATAATATATACATGTAACACATCTTCCATCTCCATTTGGATTATCAACATGGCGCACGTATCCTGTTCCATTGCCTGGATAACAAGCCACCATAGCCTAGAGTCAAAGAATCAAACATGGTAATTAGTTTTACCTGTGTGAAGGAAGAAGTCTGTATTTTATCTGTATAAATTCATAAGTAGTTCATACACAAGCAACAGAAAAATTAAGTTACAAATAATGGGAAAGAATTCTTTTATCTGTCCTTTCTTTCTAGTTAAAAAACCGGTTTTGAACAGAGATGTCTACAACAAAGGCACGAAACACACAGAGAGGAACACTGTTAATTAAGGTATGGAAGGTGGGGCTGCTCCATGTTGTGGTTAATCCTTCAGACTTCCCTCCCTTGAATGAAACACAAGAGAGGAAAAACGTCTTGTGTATAATAAAGCAGTACGTGCTTCTCCTTGTGATAAGAATACCTATTTTCCAGACTCAAGTTCAGAGACAGCTATCCTTTTGTCTTACACACCACCCCCCTCATCCCTCCCCTCCGTGTTTCCAATGTAAAGAATTTCTCCTCTTCAAAAAGTAGCAAACTATTTTTAGGAGACTTTTTAGACAGGACCATTAGCCCATCTTACCAATCACTCCAATTACATTCTTAGGCTTGTGTTTTGTCCTGTACATAGGAGGCCTTTGAACCTTTGTTGAAACAAGCCTACATGTACAACAAAAACATCCTTTTTAGTCAAGAAGTGAGAAATTGAAAACAGACACCGAACAGTAATCTGCAATAACCTTCTGACATCAAACGATTCCCAGTACAGTAATACATTTAACTTCCCATGCTGCACTTAGCCCAGCTGACTTGAAAGACCTCTAGAAGGTGATTTGGTTTCTGAGTCTTCAGACATGCGGATGTGCGTGTGACACAAACCGGCCATGCTAACGGGTGGCCTGATGAGCTTGATTAGCTATTAATTCACATGGCCTGTTTGTTGTATGGCAGATCCCCGTATCTTTATGCATTTGCTGGAAATAGGAATCATTTCAGCTTTTTGAAAGAGATCAAAGTTTTCCAGGTCAAGTCATCCACTGCCACCGCAGTGCTCAGATGAGTGCAGCAACAACAGCCTTTTAAACACAACCATTCCTGTCTCAGTTTAGCCCTGGACCTCTGGATTGCAAACTCTTTCACCTCTCAAGTAAAATATAAAAAATAAACAAACAACCCCCTCAAATAAATACACAGAAATATTATTTATTCAAAAATATTTTTCCCAATATAGTGTGTACTGTGAAAATATAACCCATCAGTTTAAAAGTATCTCAGATCAACTGTTTCAGTTCACTTTTTGCTTTCTATTGGTAATTTTAAGTTTACCCCCTCTAAATGCTAACAAATGAAGCTTTCCACAGTTTGCATTACTTGGAAGAAACTGTGCTTTGAGCAGGGTGGGGAATAGTTTAAAGTACCTGCAGTTCAATCAGCAAAATATTTGTATGTTGCCTACAAGCAGAGTGGATTTTGCTATAGCAGCGAACAGTTTAAAATCTCTATTTCCACATACTCTATTAAGAGAAGAAGCAATTTTTTGGTAAATCCTAGGCAGAAATCAGAATGTATTACCTGCCAAATAATAGCACTATGATTATTAAAAAAAAAAATCTAAAAATCAAGCCAATCTTCATTTACACAAAATATAAACAAGTACACTGAATGGAAAGTACTCAAAACTATAAAATTCAAATATACTTGCAATTTGGAGATTAGGTACTTCTCAATCTCTTTACTGTAATCGTAGCATAGTCATCATTATAGGTCTCACATTATGCAAACATATTACATGTATCAAGTTATGTGACCTAATATTTGGCAAAGTCATTACTTATCAGTTTTGCTGCAGGAAGATAAACCCACAAAAATCAAAACAGTGAGTTAAAGATACCAAATAATGTAATACGGGTTCTGTAATTTCCTTTCTTATAGAGAAAAAAGGAACAAAAGCAAAGCTGGGCTGGAAGAGGAAGGTATTTGGTTTCCATTGAAAAACCAACCCTCTTGAAAAAAGTCCCATACACCACATAAACCCTATCAAGCTCTCATGGAGCAAGGATAGTGCTGAAAGCAGATCCAGGTCCAATCTTGTAACAGCATTCCTAATGACTGGAAAGTTTTAATGAAAGGGATTTTGATGAGAAGTATCACATAAATTAAACCCTGACATTAACTGTTGCTCAACTTCTGCATGAACCAGGTACTAAAACTCATTCAGATTGAGGAAAACATTGAGACCAAGTAGCTAGAGCAACGGAAATTCTCACTGAAATCACAAGGAGTTAGCGCCAGATATGAAAGATCTGCCACTGAGCTAAACAAAACGTGTTCGAAGTTTATGGCAGCTCCCAGGTCTCTCTGGCTAACACAGGACTGCTGGGTTGGGGTTTTGTTTTTTTTCTCCCCCAAGGGCACACTTGTTTGTCGCTCAAAAAATAATTTTGCAGTTAGAGATGCATAAATTTGCATCCTATTGCTAGAGTTTCATTTATAAGGTACTGAAATGGGTATTTGCTGTCTTTGCTGAAAGGAAAATCAAGAAAAGAATCCTTAACATCAACACTGCTACAGAGAAAGAGCATCAGCACCATTTTTTGGAAGGTCTGGGGAAATACCAGTTATCATCAATTTCATATAAAAAGCACCCATACTCAATGTCAGAAGCATTTCATACAATCATTTGAATCTGAAATACTGTCAATGTTTTAAAAAAGCCCTTGTTTTTGACTTTAGACTTGACTGAAACTTCTGCTATCATCTACTGCAAGAGAAGAGAAACAGTTCTGCTGCGATAACTTATCTAATATATATTTGTTATAACAGTAAGAATGACTCAGCCTTTAGCTCCAAATTGGAAAGCAAACAAACTTGCAAAGTGGCTGGTGTAGCATAATATACATTGCTTTTGCCAGTCAGTGTGACCATTCCCTTTTGCGGGTTGAAGTATGATAAGGAAAATCATAATTTACAGGACCTGGGAAATATATTGCTTTGTTAAAGAACATGAAGTCAGTTTGTGTCAAACTGTCATGTACTGTGAGATTACCAACATGGAAAGGACAAAAAAGTAGCTCGGGTATGAAGTCATATACTTTTGTTACCGCTGTTTTAACATTTTACAGGACGAGTAAGCAAGCAAATACATGTATGCAAACAGCGAAAAATCTGAGGGTTGCTGCTTTTTTGGGGTTTGCTTAAACACTGTTAATGGCAGTGGAGAGAACTAGGCATTTGAGACCAGAATGTTCAAGATTCCTTAATATTTTAGACCATGAACGATAAAGTTGTTAGCTCTCCAAAACAAAGAGCTACCTGTCTCATCAGTTCTGCCATAAAAGTAACTGCTGAATTGAACTCAATGCATAACTTGCATTTTCGTAAGAGATAAGGAGCTCTCCCTTTTTATGCTTCCTGGGCATTACAATTTTTAAGTATTGAGTAATCTTTAAATTTCTGCAAAGAATATATTTAAGTCACATACTGGATTTGTTCACCCAAGAGAAGCTGGCGGTGGGAGAGCCGGCAAGCACAGCAGCTACACCAGCCTCAGTGACAAGTACAGCAGCATTGTTTGAGAGTTCTGCAGGTTTTGAATGGCCTTTGGGTATCCTTGGGACCTGCCTGCTGGTTGTGATGGGGATCAGCATGTTGGCACACATACAGAGTGTGTTTTACCCACCACCATTTTGTCTGATCTCAAAAGTTAAGCAGAATCAGGTTTGGGTCTTGTCTGGGGTTAGACAACAATATAGGGGGACCAAGAGATTTTCTCCAAGGCTGGACAGTCATGAGTGGCAGGGCATGTGGGACAGTATGGGCAAGTATCTAGTCCACTGGGCCCCTCCAGTGCTTTGGAAGCATCGGAGATGGAAGGCAGCTGTATGGAGTCCCCAGCAACAAGCTGCAGAAACTGCTTAAGGCGACAGTGAATTATTTTGAGCCTGGTGGGCCCATGGCACTTCAGGCCATCAGAGCAGAGATGCAACATAGAGATGGACTCAGGATCAAGGGGTGGACTTAGCAATGGACACTATTGCCCAGGTTATTCACGAGTGTGAACACTGCACAGTCTCTCCTGCTCTGGAAGACTGTTACAAGAGATGGAGCCTGACATCATGGACCAGATGGACACAGCAGCTTTATAGGGACTGGTCCGTGCACTAAGATAAGAGTGCACCGATATAAGAGTGATGGTATATTGAACATGTGGGAACTGAGCATGACGTGAATGGTATGGAATAAGGGGTGGATAATGTCCTGGGTTCAGCAGTAGCAGTCATTTTTCCCCTTCTTGGTAGCTGGTGCAGTGCAGTGTTTTGACTTGCGGCCTGGGAACAGAGCTGATAGTAATGTTTTGGTTTGGCCAAGGACTTTGTGAGCCTCATGCTCTGCCAGGGAGGAGGGGAAGCCGGGAGGAAGCAGAGACAGGACACCTGACCCAAACTGACCAAAGAGGTATTTCATACCACAGCACGCCATGCCCAGGAGGTAACTGGGAGTTAGCTGGAAGGGCTGGGGCACTGCGGGGTTGGAGGAGGTATCGGTCGGAGCTTGGTCGGGCTTGGGGGGCGAGTGATCGGTCAGCTGGTGCTGAGGTGTTGTATTCTCTTCCCTTGTTATTTCCTGTATCATTATTATCACTGGTGGTAGCAGTAGTGATTTGTGTTATACCTTAGTTACTAAACTGTTCTTATCTCAACCCGTGGGAGTTGCATTCTTTTTGATTCTCCTCTCTGTCCCTCCGGGAGCGGGGAGGGGGAGAGCCCCGGTGCGGGGGGGGGGACGGACCTCGATTGTTGTCAGCTCGGCACCACTCACTGGGAGTGAGCGAACGAATTACCTGACTGTGTTTAAACCACGACAACCCACTGGACTCCTCTGCAAACACTCTTAATATTAACCTTCTTTAACCCAAGAAGATTCTCTTTTTTGTCCGAGTACTCATGCCTAGTACATGAGCGCTGTCCTAAGATACCCTCTGGAATTCATGAGTAATCAAGAAAGCATGAAAGAGCTCTCCCCACTCTGCAATCCGCCCAATCCTATCAAATCCAAG